TGCGATCAATCAAGATTCAAGATTGTTATATTTTGTCAAAACTTTGTCTTTATTTTGTTCATTTTCAAAAATAGTTTGAGTTATTTTAGTTTAATTTCTGAAATAGTACAGGGTTATTTTGGTTCAGTTTCAAAAATAATGTGGGTTATTTTGCTGTAGTTCCCGAAATAGCGTGGATTATTTTTGTTCAGTTTAAATTATTGTGTGGGTTATATTGTTGTAGTTATAAAAATAATGTGTATTTGTTCCCTTCAAGAAATAGTGTGGGTTATTTTGGTTTAGTTTTCAGAAATAGTGTGTAATTTTGCTATAGTTCCATAAATAGTATGAGTTATTTTGGTTTAGTTTTAGCTATAGTGTTGGTTATTTTGCTTTAGTTTTAGAAATAGTGTTTATTTTGTTCCCTTCCACAAATAGTGTGGGCTATTATGGCTCAGTTTCAGAAATAGTATGCGACACACCCCGACCCGAAATGTCCACTAGGACTCTGAATCGAGCTGTGCTGGTCGACACCTGGAAGGTGACGAAGCCATAAAGTGTAGTGATGTGGAAGATGTGAATAAATTTAAACCTAAAAGTGCCTAAATACAGAGTGAGCTGTGAGCGGGAATGAACCCTATTCACACGTGATGACATAACATAAGTACAGTACAGTAAAATAGAGTGAGAATTATACCATCGATGGTAATCGTCTACACCAAGATTTGCCAATAATCCTCGTCGGTACGAAACTTTGCTACTAGAACCTAGGGGGCGAAAAACAGAAGGGTGAGTGGGCAAAAACAAAACTTTAGAAAACACAATTCTCTTTTCTGAAAGTAATAACCCCTCACTGTAAAACTCATAATTTCCAAGGAAATAATAACACGTAGGTACATAAGGATAATGCTTATAAGCAGTGAAAACAGAGGTATGCCAGGACAAGATGTTCAACCATAAAATGTGTAAGCCAGGTGATACGAATCAATGTAAAATAGTATGCCAGCCGGAGTCGCCTAATGTGACATGTACAGTTGAATCTATAACTCGTCAAGTATGCCTGCATATGAGTCTGAACCACCTATTGTGGTCTGTACGACAAGGCTAGGTGTAGATAAGTATGCTCAAGTGCTACGCTCACGTGAAGGCTGTGCGAATAATCACGGGTCACCTACGAGTCGAAACCACCTATTATGGTCTGTACGACAGGGTTGTGCACCAAACTTGGATCCAAGGTGAGCGTGCGGTGCAGGAGGTGAACATAACGTGAAAGACTGTGTCCTGGCCACGGGCGGAAGCACTAACACCGGGGTGCAGGATAATGAGTTCTAAATGCATCTACGTATAATCACAACGATACATTCCACTATCATCAATATATATCACTTGAAGCTTACCTGAATGTCCGCAGCGTCAAACAACAACATGCATATCTATTCTAATGCATATTCTAAAATGTAATGCAATTGACATGGCATTTAAAATTGTAAATCCATTTAAAACAATTTCTGGGAAAATGTAGAGCATATATATGTATATAGAAAACCAAAAGCCCACTCACCTGGAGTTCGCGCTACAACTCCCTTGCACGAAAATCAAGGTGTCACGAACGATCGTCGTCTAGAATAATTATCAAATAAAGTCTCAGAATTCTTATCGATAGAACACATAAATTACATAAAACACATCCCCAAAGACATTCGAAAATGATTCGAAACCCATTGACCAAAAGTCAAGTGTCGGTTGACGGTAGGGTTCGCAACCCTACCAAACTCGATCCGGAAGATCCGTACCTCAGATTTTCAATCCATATCTTCCAAAGATCTACATTATGCTTCTAGAACATCATACGAAAGTTTCATTATGATCCAACGGTTTTATCTTCGCCAATTGCAAATTCAAGTGGCGGTCGACGTTTTATTTTACAAACTTACAAATCTAATTTGGGAAGATCCCTACGTCGGATTCCTAATCTGGAAGTTCCTAAGGTCCTCAAATATTACGAATAAAAATCTATTAAAGTTTGGTGACGATCCATCGGTTGGATCGTCGATTCGTATAATGACCAAGTAACGGACCTTAGCGAAATTGTACCAAAACAATGGAATTTCATTAATCAGATATCACATATGGAATTGGGTATGAAGTTTAGCCTAGGAAGGTCAGGGGATGCCTCGACTCACGCGTCTCCGTATCCTACGGTCGACCGCCCCAACTCGCCAGAAAAATCAACTATTTCTAAAAGTTCTCAAACTTCATAGAAATGAAGATCTCAATGAGTAAAGCAAGTCTTATACCTGCGGCCAAGTCCAATTTGGCCGGGAAGAGCTTCAAATCGCCAAGAACTCGTCAGAATCCTCGAATTTGGGTGTCTTTCAATTCGATCAATCCGCAACACCACGGCCCCTAAAACTGTTTAGGCTTTGTTCTTGACCTCCAGAGAAGTGTTTTAGAAATGGGTGGATCGTCGCCTAGTACCCACGAAGCCGTGCGTCGGCCTTCATGAGATTGGAAGCAAAACTCTATATTTTTGGGCTGAAATGGTGGATGGGAGGCCACATGAGTGATTTTCAGGTGATGGATGGTGGTGATCAATGAGAAAAATGGCAGAAATTTGCTGGATTTGGAATCGGGTCGAAACTGGGTTGTGCACGGGTTGAAAGGGAAGGGTTCATGATCCCGTGCCTCTCACCCCTCTCTCCTTTCTTCCCTTCTCTTCCTTCCATTGGTCCACTCACCTCCTCATTCTCTGGTTCGTCCGCCTCCCATCAGACGGGGACTTCCTCCCCCGTACCACCTTCCTTCCATTCCTCATTTTTTGATTGGTCATCTCTTTCTTTTAACTTAGTGGCCCTTTATTTCCTTCCCTTACTTCTGATTGGTTACCATTCCCACATGGTGGGAGTTCAAATAATTTATAATCTAAAATGTAAGTAACCAATTTCAAACGTCCGTAACTATACCGTTATAATCTGGACTAGTAAAAGGTCTATGCCTATGCGTTCATACCATCGGGTACTATGCAAATACGCCAAAAGAATAAGTTATACGCTTCTGTAGACGATGGTCAATGGAAGTCAAAGTCCTTGCCTTTAGAGCATTTTCGTCAATTCACGTTTTTAAAATTAATAAAAACGTGAAATTAGGAACGGGTTGTCACAATATGAGTTAGTTTGCCGTGGTTTCAGAAATAGTGGGAGTTATTTTAAGGGAACTTTAACGAAAAGTTCCCGGTACTGTTCACTTTAACGAAAAACCACAATTTTATACGGAAAAGTCAATCATGGTACTATTCACTTTACCCTTTATTTTGTCCTTATAGTTAAAACTCTAAGTTTTCAAACCCTTTTCATTAATTTTCCTTTATTTTAATTACGTTTCAGAAATAGTGTGAATTAGTTTGGTTACGTCTCAAAAATAGTGTGAATTATTTTAATTGTTTTGTTTATCTTGAAAAAGATATAAGTATTATAATGGAGTAGAATCATAAAGGCATCCTTCTCCTTCATGATAAATTCCAAACGTTAACGCGAACAAGGAAATTTAAGGATTTTGTTTAGTGTGGGTGAATACATATAAACGCGACAAAGTATAAAGGCCTTCCTGTTTGTAGCTTGATTCATTCCTTGTTTTAATATAGTCATGATGATGTTTTCCTCAAGTCATCCATCGATTCCATCCCTTTATATATGCTAGAGATGAAGAAGCTAATTAATGCTAACAAAAGTAAAGAATGTAAAGGAGAAACACCCCACTTGTAGTACTTTTTGGACGTACGAGTCCAAACACCCCACTTGTTTAAGAACTACTCTTGACACTATCTTCCAAGACCCATCTATAGGCCCTGCAAAGAGCTTCATCTTCTTTTCGGGTCCAAGCCTTTCCTTTCATTGCAGATGTGGCCATTTGAAAATTATTCAAAAAATTAAATGAAAGATTATTGGAAGAGGTAAAATAGTATGGAATGGTGAAAAGGATGCGAGAAATGGTGTAGGAATGACTTGGGTATTTATAGGAAGAAAAAAAATTAGCATTTTTTTTTAAATTCGTCCAAAAAAAAATTCAAATTCCAATGGTAATCTGACGTCAACTAGCCGTTGGCTGTCAAGTGGGCTGGGCCGCAGGGCTGGTTGGCTGGCTGGAAATGACCAACCCGCTGGCCCGATTTTGGTTTTTTAGCCTAGTGGGGCCCATAAACCCTTTGGCCTAGCCCTCATTTAGAGACGGGTTATGTGTCATTTAAAGCTATTTTTAACCCCATGGCCCTTTGACTGAGTCGGTTGGAGATGGCCAAACCTCCTAAATTGTTCTCCTTTTTCTTCAAAATCTCATGTTCATCTATGTTTTGAATCATCAATGCGTAAATGTCGTGATGGGTTCTAACATGCTTGATTTCATCAAGAATGTCCTTAATTCATGTGATCGTGGAATTTAGGTGTAAAACTATGTGTGTTGTATGCGAATGCGGATTTATGGTTTGAAAGGTTAATCAATACAAATGCATTACCTCACTGGTGTAACTCTAAGAAAGAATGGTGCGATGTGAGCTACATCATGAACTATTCTTGACGAATAGCCTATGGCGAGGCGTTTAGAAGATGAGTTTCTAATGAACGCATCTATATGTGTAGACGGCGGCGTGTATGCAAGATGAGCCTATGTTAGGCATAGAGAAATAATGCGTATGATAGTTGTAGAGAAGATGAACAGTAGTCCTGGTAGGGAGAGTAAGCCTATCAAATCGGGAATCTAGGATAAGATATCCAATCTTCTTACGATTACGATTGGATTATCTAATTTCTAAGATATCCTAATTTGACTTGAATTAGGGTTTTCTTACTTAGGAGACAAGTAACATCTTCAATGTGTAGTATGTCAGACTAAGGACTACGCTCATGGGTTACGAGTATTCCGGTCCCTCTTGCCACCCGAGATGCCACAGGTTATAAGCCCAGAAAATCATATTCCCACATCCTGTTTGTTATAGGGACCAATTTTTATTTTGTCCATACACAAAGAAACATCCATATATAGTTGGCATATTTATTTCACGAAAAAGGAAGAACATTCATAAAGGAATACAATTATGAAAATAGGGAAATGATATGCTTGGCATATTTATTTCACGAACAACAACCGCAGCAGGATATCTTCACCATTATCCAAGGAAACATTTGAACCAGCTTGCTGAGAGTTTTGGGTGCCTCTTAAGTCCATCATTGTAATCTATATAGACGAAACCAAATCGTAAGGTGTATCCAGAAGCCCATTCAAAATTGTCCAGCAATGACCATGCAAAGTATCCCTTCACATTTACACCATCACTGCACAAAAAAGGCGAATTTCAAATGTAAGTATGTCTAGTGTAGTGATAAGTAAAAGATATAAGTTAAACCTTATTTAACTTTTAAAAAGAACTTACTTGATTGCTTTTCGAAGATAGTCGAGGTGGTGGTAGTGGTAATCAATTCTGTGGGTATCATTGAGGGATTGCGGAAGTGACAATGTGGGATCATCGAACTCGTCAAGGCCTGCAATATAATTAATTTTTTATTTGATGTTTTTAATTGACGAAGAGGCGAAGAATTATCGATTCAACAGATTGCTAAATGTTTGAGAGTTCCCATCTAGTTTTATATGTAGATCACTTATAGATGTCAACTGCATTTTACACCATATACATGTGAAGCATTAATTATTTAGTTAATTAAGGTTTAAAAATAATTACCGTTCTCAGTAATGTAAATGAGCGGATTATTATATTTGTGCTTTGCGTAGAGTAAAATCTCTCGAATGCCTTTTGGATAAATAACTAGCCAGCTTGAAGCAGCCTGCAACCCCAATTTATGAAGGTAAGTTAACTAAATGAAAATCAATTACTCTTTGAATGCAAATAGTTTAGCTAATTGTTTGATGCGTACCGGAGGACCAATGGGGACTCCATTAAGCTCGGCTGCCACAACATTTAGGAATATGAGATTTTAAATATTTTGATGAACTTAAATTACTCAAATTAAATAATTGGTTTCTCATTTTGTACTCACTTGATTCAAAAACGCGAGCATCGGTCAGGAAGCTTGCATTTGCAGAATTATTATGAGGTTGATCGCTTGAATAGTGAGTAGTATAATAATTCATTCCAACAAAATCAAATGACCCTTTTATTAACTTGGATTCTTCTTGTGTAAATTTAGGTAATCTTTCTTTAACAAGAACTTGCATACTGTGCGGATATTGGCCGCTTGTCAATGGCTCCATAAACCTACATAATCATTGAAATTTCATCAATAAATTTTGTATTATTATCATATAAATGAACACTTAATTGGGTTGATATATAAGTTTGGAATTAATAAACTTGCCATCCAAACATAAAATCCAAAGATCGATTTGCAGCATTCCGATGACGCGTTGCGTTAGAAACCGGCACAAACCAATTTGTCGCTAATGTTATTCCTATCACGCCTTCTTGAGATGCCTGCACATCACCAACCAAACTTGATTAGTTACGGTATGAAAAAAGGTAAATTAACCCTATCTCATTAATTTAATATTACAAAATTGAGTATTAAAATGACCTGATATTTAGTCTTGTACACTTTAACAGCATGTGCATGAGCGAGGAGGAAGTGGTGTGCTACTATATAGGGTTCGGTAGCCGAATCACCGCCGGTGCAGTTTAAGTTCTGCCAAGCAGAACATCGCCCGGGTGCTAATTCTCCTGATGCATAGCCAAAAGTAATAAAAGTATATGGCTCATTTAGTGTGATCCAATGCTTTACCCGATCGCCAAATAACTTAAAGCAAAGTTCTGCGTAGTCTCGAAAATGATTGCTGCAACATGGAAATTTAAAAATCAGTTGCATGCTGATTTTGAAGGTTTACGCATTATAGCAATATACATTTGAATATCTAAACGATCAATCGTCAAGAAGATAAAGAATTATTATTAATTAGAGAATCAAAGTCTACTACTTACACAATTTGACGGTTTAAGAAACCACCATATTCTTCTTCTAAAGCTTGAGGAAGATCCCAATGAAAGATTGTCGCATATGGCGTTACACCTGTGCATTATCAATAAAAGCAACACGCTCGATTATATAACATGTAACTCTTAATATGTATATATGTACATGTGTGTGTGTGTGTGTGTGTATTTGTAAGGTGGGATGATATATGAGATTAAGCAGTTGCATCACCTTTGTTTAGGAGTTCATTGATGAGATTGTTGTAGTATTGTACTCCTTCCTTGTTCACACCCCCACTTAGCTTTCCATCTAATTATATAATTAAAATTAAGAACATAAGCAAATACATTGGAAAGGGGAACAAAATAGGTTAAACTACAAATATTATTGGTTATATTACTCAGAGCAAACATCATGCATGGACACACTACTTCGTCCCAACTAATTAATGCGAATGCGGATGATCAACTTACTTGGTAACAATCTGGACCATGAGATAGAGAACCTATAAGCATCCAATCCCATATCCTTCAAAATCTTTACATCTTCCTATATAGAATAACGCAATATGTATTATAAGAAAATGCCTCATCTTCAACCTCCTTAATTTTCTCAAGGCCGTAAATTCTTTAATTCTCCTTATACTATTGAATAATTCAGAAGGACTGGAGAACAAAGTTAATGATATTTTTGAACCTTATAGCGGTGGTATTGATCATCAGCCACGTCCCCATTGCTTCCATCAATGATTTTTTCTGCAATTAACCATGTAAAATTTTCATTATCTTCATAAACCTCATGGTTTAGGCCTCGTCCCCCATCAATGTCTAACCCTTGTAAAGGTTAAGAATAAATCTGTATTAATCAAGGTTCAATTCAATCTGGCACCGGTGTAGGTACCTGGATACTGGTGGGTGAAGTTATCCCATATGCTTGGTCCTTTACCACCTTCATCCCATGCACCTTCATACTGAAATTAATTTACACATATAAGGGTACAAAATGAGCATGTTAGTATTTTCCTGCATGTATGTTAATAGGTCTGACATTAAATAAAAACCCTAACAACTTATTAAGTGCAGAAACACAAACTTGGTAAGATGCTGAAGCTGAACCAAATACAAAGCCTGATGGAAAACTGCTTCTGTTCAGGGAAGCACTGCTATAACGACTAGGTATAACAGCAGTAGTTTTACTATCTCCCGCTGCAAAGCCAGTTAGTAGTAGCACACCCAACAGCAGTGACTGTAACCTCATTGCCATTGCTAATTAGAGCTTTTGGTGAACGGGAATGGTTGTGGCCTTCCTCGCATGGCGTTTATATAGAGAAAGTATGTATGAGGAAAACATGTAACCCTTAATATTTAATTAAGAACGTGGACCAATACAGATAATAAATAATTAGTAAAAGTATAGATTGTAAATAAGTACCAAAAGTCTTCGATATCAATTGGCTAGACACCTTCGCAACATTATAAATAATTTAGAATATCACGAGAATATAGCCCTATATAATCTAATCGTGATAAGGTCATGACTTGCATAGTTGCATTAAGTTGCCCTACATAATCTAATCGTGATAAGGTCATGACTTACATTAAGTTGGGAACGTGCATATAGCGTACGTGAAACTTAATATCTTGGAGATTTCAATGAACAGATTATGGTGAGGTGAAAATTTTATTAGGGATGGGGTAAAAAAAGCAGGGGGTGAAAGTCTATTTCTTCACATTTTTCCTCCAAACCTATTGAAATGTGTAACAAGTTAAGAGGTATTGTACATACAAAAACGAATTAAGTACTTGTTTGTGGGAACTGGATATACTGGTTTGTTAATATTAATGTTGTTCCATATTTTGTAATTATTTTAGAGTTAGATATGTTTAATTCCAGCTTGGAATTTGACAATTTGTTAAGGAAATTCAGCTGGTCTCAGTAACATAATAAAAGACTACAAAAGTGTTCTAGAAGGCTGACCACTACACCAAAACTGTCAAAAAGTGGATTGAAATAGAGATGTATCCCTATGCTAGTTTGGAGGGTTCGCGCCTAATCCATTGCTACAGCAAAATTGTCAAAAAAAGAGTAGTTATATTGTAGAAATTGTCAAAAAGTGGATTGAAATAGAGATGTATCCTTATGCTAGTTTGGAGGGTTCACGCCTAATGCATCGCTACAGCAAAATTCTCAAAAAAATTAGTTATATTGTAGTTTTGATAGCAGGCAACGGGAACAAAAAGGTTCCATAGTTCTGGTTCTAGACTTCTAAGAGAGTAATTAGAATACGAGAGTGTAAAGGGTAAAGTTTTAGTTCTAGTTCTGTACTTTCTTGGGACAAAGGTTTTATATACACAAATTCACACATCCATCTTGAATAAAACTTTTTTTATTTTTTTTTATTTTTAAGAAACGTCTGCGATACAAGAGAATTTTATTGGTAACGAAAGAAAGTTACATCTAGTTAAAAGGGACATAAACTTTACCTCTCATAATACAAGGAAAAAAAAAGAAGCTTTAATGAAAAGAACTTGGACCTAACTTTAATTTAACCAAATACTACCATAAACTATTATTTAACCTAATAAACTTAAAATTTAATCTTAATGACAAACTATTCATATACCAGCCCTCCAAACTTGCCCCTAATGGAAAGCCTATTACCTTATTAAATATGAAGGTGATGAAATGGCGTCCACCATCCCCACTTCCATTTTCCACTGCCGTCCACCATCCCACTTTCATTATTCCAACTACCACACGTGCCAAACTAATAAACAAAACCAACTGTCCTTTGTTTCACTATGGGTATGTAGAAAACTTGATTTTTAAAGTGAGCTTTAGATGATTTTTGTTTTTTTAATTCATAAAATATAGCTATTTTTGTATGTTTTTCTAATTCATAGAATATTGCTATTTTTTGTATGTAAAAAGATTTCATGGTCCTGCAATTTAATTTCAGTCAAATTGTTTATTTATTTTTCGTTGCTCAACACAGTTTTGATACATTTCTCAACAGTCCTTATTTTTCGTTGCTCAACACAGTTTTGATACATTTCTCAACAATCTTTTGAGATTTGTAATTTGGACTGTAACATGTGCAATACTCTCTTCGGAATCATACGCGCATGTGTGTGTATAAATGAAGACAACAAATTTCCTTTTCCTTTTTTTTTTTAGTACAAGAAGCAAATGTAATTTGTCTTACATCAGAAGTGACCAAAACAGAAGCAAACCATAATAAACAAGAAGCATATGGTATCGGGTACAAGCTGCAAAGATCATAAGTATCAGGTAAATACAAACTAACATATATTAAGATCCACATAACAGAATACAAAGTGATCAAAACACTAAGCATCGGGAGGTACAAACCAAAGTATGACCAAACAAACTGATCGAATCATCACCAAATCGGAAAATTCATTCATACCAGATGTGGAATAATTATTAAGTACACTCGTAAACATTTATTTAAAAAAAAAACAAAAACAAAAAATTATGATAATTCTTGTTTCCACAAAGATGTTCAACGCTAATATACTATTGTCATTGACGGTATGTAATTAAAACTCCAACGACTACTTTTTGGTTACAAAAGGCCCTAACTAATTCATTCCCCTCTTTATCCGGGTAAACTTAAAATTTAATCTTTATGACAAATTATTCATATACCAGCCCTCCAAACATAAAAGCTCGTGACCAAACTAAAAGCTCAACACAATAATTTTTTTTTTTTCAAACTTGCCCCTAACGGAAAGCCTATTACCTTATTAAATATGAAGGTGATGAAATGGCGTCCACCATCCCCACTTCCATTTTTCACTACCGTCCACCATCCCACTTTCATTATTCCAACCACCACACGTGCCAAACTAATAAACAAAACCAACTGTCCTTTGTTTCACTATGGGTATGTAGAAAACTTGATTTTTAAAGTGAGCTTTAGAAGATTTTTGTTTTTTTAATTCATAAAATTTAGCTATTTTTGTATGTTTTTCTAATTCATAGAATATTGCTATTTTTGTATGTAAAAAGATTTGATGGTCCTGCAATTTAATTGCAGTCAAATTGTTTCTTTATTTTTTGTTGCTCAACACTGTTTTGATACGTGTCTCAACAGTCCTTATGTCAATTTTTTTTTTCCAGACACTGCTCCTGACGGAATAATCCCAAAAAGGCCATGAATACAAAAAGGGAAAAACGTATTTATCAAAGTATTATATGTTTTTCAAACCCACAAAAAAAACACCATAAATTTACATCAGAGAGAGGAGAGAGAACAGAGAAGAGGGGACTGAAAATTTCATGAAGTTGAATTCAACCTGTTATACATAGCCAAATCAAAAGTAATCCATATATAGATTATACTATTAAATAGCAATATATAAGACTACCATTTTTTGGACAAAGACGTGCGATCAATCAAGATTCAATATTGTGTTATTTTGTCAAAACTTTGTCTTTATTTTGTTCATGTTAAAAAATAATCTGAGTTATTTTAGTTTAATTTCCGAAATAGTACGGGGTTATTTTGGTTCAGTTTCAGAAATAGTGTGGGTTATTTTGCTGTAGTTCCCGAAATAGCGTGGATTATTTTTGTTCACTTTAAAATATTGTGTGGGTTATATTGTTGTAGTTATAAAAATAGTGCATTTTGTTCCCTTCAAGAAATAGTGTGGGTTATTTTGGTTCAGTTTTCAGAAATAGTGTGTAATTTTGCTGTAGTTCCAAAAATAGTATGAGTTATTTTGGTTTAGTTTTAGCTATAGTGTTGGTTATTTTGCCTTAGTTTTAGAAATAGTGTTTATTTTGTTCCCTTCCACAAATACTATTATGGCTCAGTTTCAGAAATAGTATGCGACACACCCCGACCCGAAATGTCCACAAGGACTCCGAATCGAGCTGTGCTGGCCGACACCTGGAAGGTGACGAAGCCATAAGTGTAGTGATGTGGAAGATGTGAATAAATTTAAACCTAAAAGTGCCTAAATACAGAGTGAGCTGTGAGCGGGAATGAACCCAATTCACACGTGATGACATAGCCTAAGTACAGTACAGTAAAATAGAGTGAGAATTATACCATCGATGGTAATCGTCTACACCAAGATTTGCCAATAATCCTCGTCGGTACGAAACTTTGCTACTAGAACCTGGGGGGGGCGAAAAACAGAAGGGTGAGTGGGCAAAAACAAAACTTTAGAAAACACAATTCTCTTTTCTGAAAGTAATAACCCCTCACTGTAAAACTCGTATAATTTCCCAGAAAATAATAACACGTAGGTACATAAGGATAATGCTTAGAAACAGTGAAAACAGAGGTATGCCAGGTCAAGATGTTCAACCATAAAATGTGTAAGCCAGGTGATATGAATCAATGTAAAATAGTATGCCAGCCGGAGTCACCTAATGTGACATGTACGGCTGAATCTATAGCTTGTCAAGTATGCCTGCACACGAGTCCGAACCACGTATTGTGGTCTGTACGACAAGGCTGGGTGTAGATAAGTACGCTCAAGTAGTCCCTTGCACGAATATCAAAGTGTCATGAACAATCGTCATCTAGAACAATTAGCTTATAACGTCTCAGAATTCTTATCGATAGAACACGTAACTTATTAAAACACATCCCCAAGGACATTCTAAAATGATTCGAACCCCATTGACCAAAAGTCAACTGTCGGTCAATGGTCGACGGTAGGGTCCGCAAGCCTACGTAACTCGATCCGGAAGATCCGTACCTGGGATTTTCGATCCGTAACTTCCAAAGATCTACATTATGCTTCTAGAACATCCTACTAAAGTTTCATTATGATCCAACGGTTGGATCTTCGCCAATTGCAAATTCAAGTGGCGGTCAACGTTTTAATTTACAAACTTACAAATCTAATTTGGGGAGATCCGTACGTCGGATTCCCAATCTGTAAGTTCCTAAGGTCCTCAAATATTACGAATAATAAGCTATTAAAGTTTGGGGACGATCCAACAGTTAGATCGTCGATTCTTATAATGACCAAGTAACGGACCTTAGCGAAATTGTACCAAAACAATGGAATTTCATTAATCGGACATCACATATGGAATTGGGTATGAAGTTTAGCCTAGGAAGGTCAGGGATACCTCGACCCACGCGCCTTCGTATCCGACCGTCGACCGCCCCAACTTGCCGAAAAAATCAACTATTTCTAAAAATTCTCAAACTTCATAGAATTGAAGATCTCAGTGAGTAAAGCAGGTCTTATACCTGCGGCCAAGTCCAATTTGGCCAGGAAAAGCTTCAAATCGCCAAGAACTCGTCGGAACCCTAAA